AATAGCAATATAAAATAGTTTACATTTGTATCAATGTACAAGAATCCATAACAGTGTAAATTATCTAAGGCTGATATTTTACTAGTTTACTAGTATACAAAATAATCTACCTTAATATCCTATACCTTAATATCCTTAATATCCTATATTAATTCCCTTTTTTCTTTTCTTAAGGAGAATACTGAGTCTAATTTTTATTGTTCTACCCCCAACCCTATAACCATTATCCATAACCCAGAGAAAAATGAAAGCTTTGGGAGAGGAGGCATTGATATTTTAGAAGTACTTCCTGCTCTTTAGGGGGCAACAGTATCTCTGTGGGGTCCTGTAAGGAAGCTCATATAGTTAGGTCTCAATAGGACTAGCTGTAAATTCTCTAGCCAGTCTCAGAGTAATGGGTAGGGTTGTCTAAGATTCTGGCTAGAAGTGTAGTATGATGGACCACCTCTTTTTGGAACTGTACTGGAAAGTTTTCAGTTCAAGGTAAATCATTGAGTAATGATCATGGGTGCAATAGCCTCATTCTGGACTGGGTAGAGTCATTGTGTGGGGCCTCATCTTCCTTCTGGAGACTTCAGAGATAGTTATTGGAAAGACTTATTTTTTACTGTGGAAAACTTTAACATTATTAATATCAAAATGGAAAGTTTGGGTTTATTCTGGATAGAAAAAGGATTCTCCAAAAACAAGGACAAGCATGGAAATAAATAGAATCTTGACACCACAATCCCTGGATTACTGGTTTTCTTCTGTCTCACACCAGTTGGCTCTTCTAATATAGGACAGAATCTCCTAATTTTTCTTTTAGCAATATGCTTGGATTTAAAGAGGGAGAGAGCCACATTCCAACTCCAAAGCCAGCTTGATTTATAATTGAATTGGGACCACAACTATTCTAGATTTAGAGAGATAATGATGTTAGGCAGTGAGATATTACCCTGTAGTGTATATTGGTACCAATGGGTCTTTCTTTTCTGCTGTAGATGTCTAGGTGTCCAAGGATTTATGATTTATGAAAGATGGGTACTTCTATTATCTTGTAAAGACAAAAAGCAGAACCCTGCCCTGATCCTTGTTTGATGAGTTTTTCTTACAACTTTTAGAGATGTCACATTGGTGAATAAGCTATTATTTCTCTTCATCAAGGTTTCTCCTATTTGAATCAAATTTTTATTAATTTTGTTGGTATCCATAGCTTTTCTTCGCCTAAAGAAATAAAAGCAAAACTCCTTCCCCAATGTAGGCTGTATCCCAGTTTCTATTCTGAGGTTTAGCTCAGGAATTTTTTCTGTTGTCCAATGTCTTTCCACAGCTGCTGTCCCTTTCTCATCAGCATTGAGAAAATTCAAGGTCAATAAAACACTATGCAATCTATTTCTAGGGAGTATTGTTACCTCTTTCTGTTTATTCAGCATATCCTTTAAAGTTTGATTAGATCTTCTCTATGACTGCTTGGCCTGTGGGATTATGTGGTACACTTGTAACATGCTTTATATTGTAATAAGCAAAAAACTGTCTCATTTTATTGGAGACATATACTGGAGCATTGTCGGTCTTAATTTGTACAGGTATTCCTATGATGGCCATAACTTCCAATAGATGTGTAAATACAGAATCAGCCTTTTCAGAACTCACAGGAGTTGCCCATTGAAAACCTGAATAAGTGTCAAAAATATAGTATACATATTTTAATCTTCCAAATTCTGCAAATTGAAACACATCCAACTGTCATGAGAACCAGGACACCAGCTCTTAAGGATTTCATCTAAGGAAAAATTACTTGATAACTTTACACCTTAAGCTGATTACTAAATAAATCAATAAAAATTTTCTTTACAAATTTTGAATATTTCTTTAAAAAATGTCAGACAATATCACATCTCAGGAATTTAAAAACATTTTTTTGTTTGTGCTGTGAATGAAATTTTACAGGACATATATGACCTTCCTGGGATGTATACAATGCTCACTATAATGGCTATCAGCATAGTGTTTCACATCACATTATTGAAAAATTGGCTTAATAATAACAGCAAAAAATGAGATGTTAACGGGACTGTTATAGGCCTTATAAGGTTATAATGAAGATTTAAATAAAAGGATTCTTTCCACGGAATCTGAAAATACACCACAAGAACTTCAGGCTTTGCAAACTGGCAACGAGAATTTAAATGGATTCTTTCTAGAATCTGCTAATGTGCCACCAGAATGTCAGGCTTCACAGACTGGTAATAATGGTGTAAATAGATGGATTCTTTCTATGGAATCTGCTAACTGACCACAAGAACTTCAGGCTTTACCGACTGGTAATAATGACTTAAATAGATGAAGTCTTTCTATGGAATCTGCTAACTGACCACAAGAACTTCAGTCCATTAATCATAACTGGACAACTGGATTTAATTCTATTGATAATAAATATGAATACTTAATGGATAAAACAATAACTCTTCAGAGCAATCTTAATGCCATTCAGATAATTCATAAGGAGGAAAGATCATCTCTTACTGATAAAGTCGATGGAATAAGATGTTTCAGATGAACATAAAAAAATTGTATGATTCCATGAAATCTCTCTAACCCTTTACAACAAAGGAGGGTCAAATGCTGCATGGGTGGTAGTTAATCGATTTCAAGCTCTGGAAGAGTCTTTCAGTAAAGATAACAAAAGAAACTAACGAGCACAAGGGCAAGGCCATACAAGTCGTACCATCGCCAGGTGCTTCTTATAGGACACTCTATCCTCCCTTTAGAACCACAGCCATGGTGTCTCATTTCTGTCCTCCCCTCTCCTACTTACAGTTGACCACCTTCTTCCTTTTCCCCAGATTATTCCTCTTGTGGGGAAACTAATATGCTATATTCAAAAGAAAAAAAAAACAACCTCTGAATAACTGTATGTGAATGAGTGTAATAAAAATATTAAAAGACAAGCACATTGGGAACTGTTAGAACAATCTGACAGACCCAAGATTTGAACGTGGCCATTTTTTGCCCCACCTAGTGCTAACTAGGAAGTTTCTCTACATCGTCGATTCTTCATCTATGAACATGGACAGAACTACAACTCAGGTTTCTTCTAACAACTAAATGGGATGATTTTTATGTAAAGTGCAGTAGTGTGAGATCACATAGTAGGTGTGAGATCACTTGTTATTCATCGTTCTACCTGAATGTGAAGTGCAGTAGTGTGAGATCACATGTTATTCATCGTTCTACCTGAATGTGAAGTACAGTAGTGATCACATAGTAGGTGTGAGATCACATGTTCTTCATCATTCTACCTGAATCTGACCACATTTGAACACAATAAAGACATTTGCTTCTAAAACTTAACCCTAAATTAGTAGTGTTTTAATAGGAAGCGTTGAAATCCTCATCAGACCACACAAATCATTCTACTATAGACTTTACATATCTGATAGAATAGACATTTATAAAGCCTATGTCATCAACAGAAAAGCAGAATATGCACACACTAAATCCAACTTCAGATCCTTTTCATTGCAAAAAAAAAAAAAAAACATTTTTGTTTTTGCTTTTGTTTTAATGTAATCAAAAATGCATTTAACAGCTGACTGGAAACCTCCTTTCTCAAGCATGATGATGACGATGATGATCATGATTATGCCAAAGATGATCTCTTGCTATTTATCTTTATTTATCTCTTGCTATTTATCTTTATTTATAAGAAAATAAAATGCATGCGTTTTAGGGTCTGGAAGGATAGCTGCCAGTAAAGTGCCATGAAGATGTGAGTTTGGTCTCTAAGACCCATGTAAAAAGCTGTGGGGCAGGCTAGGTAGCCTGTCAATCAGCTGAATCACTCAGCTCCAGGCTCAGTGAGAAACCCTGTCTTAAAAAATAGTGTGAAACAGTGACTGAAGAAGCCACTTAATGCTGAAGTCTGGCCTCCACATGCATGCACACATGTATACAAACATACATGAACATATATGAACACAGAGGAAGACACACACACACACACACACACAGAGAGAGAGAGAGAGAGAGAGAGAGAGAGAGAGCTTGAACTATGGAGACTCATAGAGGAAGCATCCCATGCTATTCTGCCTGTAAGTAGCTAAACCAAGTGTCTTCAAACCAGACCAAACAATTAATTATTAACAAGTTGGTGGTTTGTTAAGGAGGAGGAGGAGGAGGTCTTGCTTTGTTGGCCAATTTGTTTTTTAATTCCTGGTCTCAAGTGATCCTCTTGCCTTGGTCTCCCATGTAGTTGGGTAGGCACACTGAATCAGACCATAATTTCACCATCTTTAAAAGAACATTTTCAACTCTCCCGTTAAGATCCAGGGAGAAGATGGATGGACAACACTGAATCTCTCCCAAATCAAGGATCCAGGAATCCAAGTTAAAAGGACAGTTATAAAAGAATTCCTTTCTTGCCAAGTAGTAGTGGCACATGCCTTTAATCCCAGCACTCAGGAGGCAGAGGCAGGAGGATCTCTTTTAGTTCGAGGCCGGCCTGGTCTACAGAGTGAGTTCCAGGACAGGCTTCAAAGCTACACAGAGAAAAAAAACGGTCTCAAAAAAAAAAAACAAAAAAGAATTCCTTTCTTAACTTTTTTTTTTTTTTTTTTTTTTGTCTAAGCAAATTTCACTGAAGAAAAAAATAATAATAAGCAAGGAATCAAGCACACACTGCCCTTTGGGCTTTAGAAGCACGGTTGTTCATGGTGTGTGTGTACACACATGTGTAGTCTCTAAACTGGGCTTCATTGAGTAATGTTTTATCATGATTTTCCCACAGCAATACCTGGCATATTTCCAACTTATCTCCAGCCACTCGCAGCTTAAAAACACCACCTGTAAGAGCATTGAAATCTGCCCTTGAAACCAGCTGTTTGATGAAAAACGATGTCTTGTCCATCCTTTCATTCCTCAAGGGTGACAATCAGAAGTCCTGTCCACTTCACTATAGAGTAGCTTATTTGTTCACTGCCCTCTTCAAGCACCGTTTTCATACAATTCTCTTTTAGGAAATGGAGCGATGTCCCTTTAAAAGTCTCCACCAGGCAGCCAGCAAACCGGCTCTGCAACTGCCCTGGGTGGAATCTCCAGTGAATGAATAATCAGCCTGGAGCAATGAAACTGTCCTGCACCTCCACCTCTGGAGATCTTTGATCTGTCTGAGACTGCAGGATTCACAGAAGGAGGCTGTTTCCCACAGCATCAGAAGACAGAGCAGCAAGAGGAAATCCTCCACAGGACTGTGGCAGATTCACTGATGGTGGTCTCTGTAACTGCAATCTGGGAGAGCCACTAATGAGCCCTCTGTCCCACAGGCTGGGGGTGTCCCACTTTGCCCCATGAGCGAAGCTTCTTTTCCAGTTTCTCAAGCCCCACCTTCAGAAAGCTGAAATTAGATGACTCATGTGTATTTGGATCCCATCAACGTTCTGCTGACAACGTGGGATTTTTGCCTGCCGAGTATTAGCGAGTATACCCCAGGTTCTCAGAAGATTCCAGGCCTCGTTTAAAGGCTTAGAAATGAAAACTTAACTCATTATGTGTTCCCGTCCCCCCTCACCCCTTTCCTTATGGAGGCCCATAGGAGGTCAGTAAATCATGTGACAAAAGATGGCATGGTATGGTGACCTGGAAGACGTACCCAATGATGCCGTGTGAAGAGCTTTCTAACTGTGCCCACAGAGGCTGTCACGTTATCTTAGGGAACAGACGAAGGCTGACAACTTTGAGAGAGGGTGCTGATACACTGTGTAATATGCTTTACTCTACCCAAGTGTGTGTGCCAAACTTCTTTGTCATTGGTAAATATGCCCAAGAACTTAGTGGCTGTTTTCATGGTGGAGGAGTAACCCATTTGGGGGAGTAGTTTCAGTGCGGTGTGCTATTGTTCTTCCTAGATAATAAATTCCTTGAGGCAAGAAGAGTATTGTTGCATTTTTTTATTAGTCACAACACTTAATGAGGTGCCTGACATATTGCCTATCAATTGATATGCTCTGAATGAGTGGACTTAAATGAGTGACCACCTGACAGTGACCAACACTGGAAATGGACTCTCGGGGACACCCATGTTTCTATTCCAACTCGTTTATGAGAAGAGTAGGTCTTTTTAATGTAACAAATGAAGTGGATAAAGATACTATCTGAAATTGATTGTCGTCTCTCATATCTTTAGTGTAAAATGGTATTTCTGCTCTCAGGAAGTAAATGTGAGGTAAGAAATACAACAAGTAAAAACAATCATTTAGATAAGTTAAAACTTGGTGATTTCAGACTGTAGGAATCTACACACGTAATGCGGCAAGGCAAAGGTCAGAGCGAACTCTCCTGGAATGTCTTTATTTGCTCTTGATTTCTCCTTTTTCTCAAATAGAATTAAACCATTCTCCTTTGAAAGGAGAATGTGGTTATCAGAACTGACCCTGGCACACTTCAGGTCTTAAACAGCCCACGGCAATGTGGCTCAAACAGCAGCCAAATAAAATCACAGCCCTGTGAGCTCTGTCTTCACAACAGTTCCTGGGGAAATGCCGGTACTGCTCAGGGCCACAGAGAGAACTACACATTTCCAATAATTTAAATTTTATTTCTAAGTGTGAGTCTCTGCAAGTGATCTCTTCTGAAAACTGATCAGGTTTTTCCACGTTTTCTCACTACTCCGCCAATAAGCCCACAGACAGACACGGCTTCTGGAATACTTGCTGATGCTACCTAGAATTCACCCAACAAGCTTAAGGTTCTGATATTCGCTGAATCCGATAACTAGCTTTCTATTGGAAGCAGGAACTAGGCTTGCTCTATGGTCTCAAAGGGGTGTGGATACCGCAGACAGATAGTTCCGGTTGCCCAGACAAGACACAAGCTAAGACTTTCTATTTCAACCTGACATGTAGAGTGTGGTCACGAACAGGAGATGGGGTCATTTGTTTTCTTTAGCACTGTTCACAAGCCTGGGAAGGGCAGGACAGGGCAGGGGAAACCACATAGAACAGAGCCCGCTTTCACAGGAGGGACAGGGCTGTGGTCATCCCACTGCGGGGCAGAAGCAGCTGAGGAAAGATTGCCTACTCAGTGGTGGTCAGGAATAGCAGTCTCTCGCTTCCTTGGCCTAAGTCTTGGGTGTTTTGCTCCAGAAGACTGGCCATATCAGGCAAGTGATTTTCTCATGTAGCGTTTCCTCATTCTGTTCTCCCAGAATGCTTCTAAAAGGAACAGACAATGTATCTCCAAACTCACCTTCAGCACCATCAGTTACCATGAGTCTCCTCCTCTCCACTTACTTGTCTTAGCTTTTGAGAAACAGTCTGCACTTAAGAGAATTAAGGGATAGTAAAGAAAACAAAGTAAAACTTGTCTCCTTGTGGGGGGGAAAAATACAGTCTGAAGATGCAGGTTTGAAATCTGCCACTCCTGAATCCTTATTAGCTCAAATGTTCCTGTAGTGAGGTGGGGATGGGGTGTGGTGTGGTGCGGATGGGGAGGAGATAGGGGTGAGGTGGGGTGGGGATGGGGTGGGAATGAGGTGGGGAGAGGGTGTGGTGTGGTGGGGATGGGGTGGGGATGGGGTGGAGATAGAGGTGGGGTGGCGTGGGGTGGTGATGGGTGCGGACGGGGTAGGGATAGGGGTGGTGCATCTAACACACAATTTTTGTGAGGACCCAGAAAGAAACAGGAAATGAAAATACTCGGTAGGCTCCAAGGGCCTGTGCAGTGAAGCGCCTTAACTGCTCTTGGCCTTTCTCCGTATACTGTACTTGGCACAGCTCTGGACCTAATAATAGCTTCATGTGAGGGCAGTGCCTTGGGCTTCTGAGATAGCCACTGCAGAACAGAACTGGTAAGGGTGATCAGACCAAGCTTCCTGGGAAGGCCATTCCAGTAGAGAGGGGCAGGAAGGTTCTATGTCCGGGTCTCACTGGCTTTGATTGAGTCTGGCTGAGGCATAGGTACTTGCTAAAAGCCACTGAAGCATGAAGTAGAAATTCGGCTGTATATGATAAAGCTGTCTCTGGGGGAATCTAGGTACTGATAGACAGGCTCGGGAATGGTGTTCCTGAGGACAACAGCCTAGACAGTCTGCCCAGCAGAGCAACTCTGTGGGCAGAAGCCAGGGTGCAGCAGCAGGCAAATGAGAATGGTGACAGGAAGTAGATACTTGAGTCATAGCTGTCTCCAAAGAGAGTCTTAAAAGCGAAGGACAGGGAGTCCCTCTGGGTCTCTAAAGATTGCTTAGCCAAATCTCTCTCGCCTGACAAGATTTAATTCCTAAGGACTTTAAGAACTTTCTGACTGGAAAGGAAACGTCTGTGCCTCAGATTGCCCTGTGGCTTGACAGGCAGCATCAATCTTCACTGCCAACAAACACACACACTCTCTTTTAAAAAGCTTCTTTGTCTGATCAAGCCCAGCACTTTTACAGGTTTCAGAAGGTGTCCAAGGACATTTCAGCTCCAGAGAAGAAATTCTTAGGGTGAAATGAACCATGGACCAATAGGATAGGAAGGACCTGGGCACATAAAAGAGCTCACCTGTAGCAAGGATTTTAAAAGACGTGTGTTAATATAAAGCCAGAAATTGACTCCCACTTTCTTATCTTTATTGACATATGTTCTTAAAAGGTGACCAGAAAGTGTTTGAATAGAAAGCAAGATTTTATTCTGGACATAATAGAAAATATTTTTGTTGTGATAGAAAAATGTAAAGCATAGGGAATTGAAAGGAGGAATCGAGTGACATTTAATCACCACATTCAATCGAGAACCATGCCCATCACGGTCTCCTGGGAGAGGAGATTTCCAAGTCTAACATGAAGACATGTAATCGCCATATTGAAACACGAACCACACTCACATTATAGTCTCCTGGAAGAAGTGATTTCTGAGTCTAACATGAACAAGCTTTTCCTTGGCAGTTCAATGTATACATACCTGCACAGAATAAAAGGGGTATTTTTTTAGAAGAATTATTAGAATATATTAGTCAACCTAGCACAGAAGAATCATAGCTTCTAGTTTTTAGTTTACTTACATGAACTTTCTCTCCTTAGTAAACATCAGGCATTATGTATCACTTAGCTTGCTAAAATCACAGTGTATTATGTATTTGAAAACATTAAAATGGGCTGGGTGTAGTAGTGCCATGCCTTTAATCCCAGCAATCAGGAGGCAGAGATGAGTGATCTCTGTGAGTCCGAGGCCAGCCTGGTCTACATAATGAGTTCCAGGACAGCCTAGCCTACATAATAAAGAGACTCTGACTCAAAAAAAAAAAAAGAAAGAAAAAGAAAGAAAGAAATGAAGGAAGGAAGGGAGGTTGGGAGGGAAGGAGAGTTAGAGGGGGGAAGAAAGGAAGGAAGGAAGGAAAGAAAGAAGGAAGGAAGGAAAGAAAGGAAAGGAAGCACTAAAATAGTTGGAGAGGACATGAGAATCCAAAAATGTGAGGATTGGAGTCCTCGTTCACACTAAAGAAACTAAAGCAACTTCTCAGAGTGGTCACACCTAAAAATCCCACCAGGCTAGTGTTTCCCATGGGCGTGGCTTCTTTGTTCTTTGGGGATATTCAGCTTCTGTTACTACCTAATTTTTGTCTTAAAGTCCATCTTTCATTGCAAATTATTTTTATTTCCATTAAAAAATTTTAAACAATCCTGTCACTCCTTCCATTTTAATGTTTTGCCAGAGGTTAAAAAGGTGACTCCTTTTGACCATTAGCAACAGGCTTCACACATTTCTCAGGAGTGCTGGCTTTTATCTAACTGCCCCAAATCCTCCCATAGTCCAAGTGAAGCTGGGCCTAGACTCAATTTTGGATGAGCCAACGGGCCTGCCCCTTTTTCGAGACGGGGATGCCCTTTGGACCTGACACTCCGCACCTCGTGTTTTCCTTGTGGAGTATCTTGTGCACCAGTTCCCTTTGGCTGAACACTGCCAGCAAGCAGTGCATTGGCGTGTTAGCCACAGATGCCCTAAATCAGATGGGCCGTGGAGCATGGGCCCCAGCTTCACTATCGAGGGGTATGGGCCTTAGAGGATTGGGTGAGCCCAAGAGAAGGCAGAGTTCTGCTAAAAGTGAGTCTACTCAGGAGGAAGAAAACAGAAGGGAGAGAGAAGACACCAGCCCTCCCTGAGGAGGGCAAGGGTGGCTGATGGCTCGCCTCCCAGCATCATTCCTTCGCTGCGTCTGCTGTCCGCCCCAGAACAGGAAGTAAGAGATCCTGACTGTAAAAGCCAGAGGCAATCCCAGAGGAATCCCAGCAGAGGTGCCATTAGCCCAGGAACTTAGCAGAGAACATTTCTCCTCAAGGCTCTATCTTACAACAAAGCCGGAAGGCTCCTCTTAGGAATAAGCCTTGCCTGGCAGCCCCAGAAAGAAACGGAAGACCTAAACAGTTGTGTGAAAGGGAGAGGTTAAATTCCACAAAAACAATGACTGGAATTTGCTGTTCATTGAGATCTTAAACTTGTTCTACTGGAAATACTGTTTGACCCTTCACAACTTAAGGAGCGGAGAAAAATGAGAATAGGGGGCTGTGGAGATAGCTCAGGCAGACACGTAGCATTGTTTGAGAACCTCAGTTTGATCCCCAGAAATCACGTAAAACAGCCTGAGATTACTGCGGTTAACACGTATAATCAATCTCATTGCCTGGAGGCCTATAGGTAGGAGGGGCTCACTGCCCAGCCACCATAGTCACTGGGTGAGCTCTAGGCAAGTGACAGGCACCGTCTCAAAAACAAGGTCGACCTCTGGCCTACATCCATATGCATGCACAAACATGCATCGAACAAGTGTGCAAGCCAGCAAAAAGAAAGAGGGGAGAAGGAGGGGGAGGGAGAAAGGGAGGGGTGGGGAGGGGGATGAAATAGAAGGAGAAGGAGGGAGAGAGAGAGAGAGCTGAGCCTTTTGGAAGCAGTCAGGGGAAAAGCGGGCACAAATTCTCGAGAAGCTGTTTATAATTGATAGTTTCTGGGAGATCGAAATTCAGATTTCTTCAATAGCGTGACAACAGGTATAGCAACCACACTCTAGGGCAGGATGCTCAAGAGTAGTTGG